CAAATCTTCCACCTGCTAAATTAGAGCTTAATGTTTAACACATAAAATAACTAAATTCATTTATCTAATGTGTAATTTTGAATTAAACTGAAGGTCTTGCTCTTTGCTCACCTAATAAATGTAAAAAAAATCCTTAAAAAGAATAGATACATGGAGTTGACACATAAACAGGTCGTAACTGGAAACTTCTCACAGTTACTGAGGCAGCCAACGTTTAATTAACCCTGCCCTGAAAAAAGGCCATGAGGAATTCCAAACCTCAGAGTAGATTACATACAATATAACCAGTAATTCATTATATAGTTTCCTCATCTATAAAATAAGGGGTCTGAATTAGATGATTTCCAAGGTCTCTTCCGGGTTTTGCATGTTCTGATAGAAAAATACCAGGTTTAAACTTTTACTAAGGTGTGGTATTTACTTACCCATCACATAAGTTTTTTTCAAAGTTAGTCAACTTCAAAATTCTTTCCTAAAGGGAAATTTAGTTCTGTTTTTAAGCAATATTTTATAAACTCTAGTAGTTTATAAATCATTAGCTTTAGGTTCTCTCTGCAGTTTCCCAGAGTGACCCTCAAATTTATGTGAATATCTACTCTGTAGCATAATGATGATGATGATGATGATGATAAGCATTTTTACAGTGCTTCACAATCATCTCATTTGATCCTCACAACAATACTAAAGTAGATGCTATTATTATCCCCATTTTACAGATGAGGAAACTGAGGCAGACAGAGGGTATGTGACTTGCCTAGAGTCACACAGCTAATAAGTGTCTGGGTCTGGGTTTGAACTTCTGTGTTCCTGACTAATAAAATTCAAAAAACGCATTTATTTTAACACATACATTTTTATAATCTTCAGGCACTATAAGGCACTATAAGGCACTATAAGGTGAAGGGAACAGAGAAACTCTTTTCCACCTCACAAAATATACTATAATTATTCTCTTTATTCAAGAAAACAGTAAGAAAGATTGTTTCAATGTTAAATTAAAAAACCACACAACCCTGAGCACCTTTATGGTCTCTTCCAGTTTCACAACTCCATGACTCTACGTACCCCTCAAAACTCCTCTACTATGCTGACAAAACATATTATAATCATATTAATAATCATTTGGGGGTGAACAAGAATCAACTATAAAACATCCACTTAGATGAATGTTATCTCATTCATGACAGCAGTTGCTCCCCCCCCCCACCCTCATCAATGCAGCCTACAATCCATTCACACCTTAGCAACCTCTATTAAATATCTATCACATGGTGGAGGCTTTCCTCTGATTCTTTTCCTATATCCTGGATACTAGCAGTCACACTGTCCCTCTCTCACTACATGCCTGACCCATCTATTTTTCTAGTCAAGCGTGTCCTTGATAATGTCCTTTACCCCACTTGCCAAACTGAAGTCATTATTAATGGAGGCTCCTACCATCCACCACAGACCTTTTCATTACCCTGCAGTTTTGATTCTCCTAACATTCCGATATTCCATGATACCAGGCCATAAATCATCACTGGAAGATGAGTATCCAAATCAGGTAAGGCATTAAGCAGCAAAAAAAAAAAAATGTTCGCCAATGTCACTGTAAGATGTCCTACACAAAATTCAAATCAATGCCTTGTGGATGATGAAGTATTCACATGATCAATTTCCAGATGACACCATATTGACAGCACTGGGCCCTGGACCACTATGGCACTTCCTCATAGGAATTCAATTGCTCAAAAAAGATCCATATAGAAAGAACCAAGCCAATCAATGCATACACCCAGATTATAAAACACAGTTGGATCAGCAACCCAGAGTTAGTTTATCAACACAAATATCTCAAACTTGAACAAGTACTGGTGGTAAACAATGAGTTAAAGCTTGCCTTTCTTTCTAAAAATGTCAAAATAATGTTGGGTTACCGTGAAGGGAAAGAAAAGTTGTTATCTGACATATGTCCATGTGAGATGGCAGCTTAGTTACCTCCCTTTACACTTTTCCAAATATCTGTGAAAAGGTAATCAAAGGTTGTTCTGAAGTCCCTCTCCTCTGATAATTTCCCCGATATGCTTTTCAAAAAATCAGTTAGGGCTCATAAAAGCACAATATACTAGAATAAAGTGTCCTTGAACAAAAGGACAAAAGCTTTATAAAAAATTTTATTGTTCATCTAATTTAGCTCTGCTGTTTGGAACATGGTGTTGAAGAGGCCAAGGTTGTGAGTTCAATCTGTGGTCAGAGAACTCAAGGTAATTTTCACTGAAAAAAACTTCTGGCCACAGAATGTACCCCTGACCTTTTCACAAATACAAGCTGAAACATTACTTGAGAACATGCCTCAAAGCACATGTCCTATTTATGAAGGATTAGTAATATCAACTTCCTATCCACAGGGCAGCAGATAAACCTATGCCTCTCTCCTCATCAGAATCATATAATTTTTATAACTGGACAGGAACTTTATAGGATCATGAAGCCCAAACCCTTGGCTCTGCAAAGTGATGACGTGACTTACCATATCTATTCAACAAGCTTAAAACTTCACTTAATTGTGAAACATGAGCCTGCAAAAGCAGTTGTAGATAGCACCTTAGAAGTCACATATTAATTTAGAATCTTAAGAACGTTTCAATTACCAAACCACGCCTTGGGACTACACTGGTAAGCTACAACTGGTAAACTGAATAAGATTTAGCCTTTACCTGGTTTCTCACCCAAAGTTCCCCTTTTTCTTTTTCTCTGTACAATATTATGGGAAATGTTTCCAAAATATACTTTCAACAGAGTCTCTGGGCACTAGAACTTTTTGCTGATGAGATGACAAATATGACCTCAAGTAAAAACAGAAGTTTCTCAACAGTAAACAAACAAAAAAAAATCATCCCTTCCCCCAGTCCCAACTCAGTGTGGTTAAAACACTGTTTAACACTGTCTGGTATTTAGGAATCAGGTATGCTGAATACAAGATAAGGTTTTTATACTTGGCTATTTTCTTACAGTGATTAAGCCAAACTCTCTTATTTACTTAGCCATGGGCTAAACACTTCTGGGTTAAACTTGGGGTAAAGATTCATTGGGTATAAATTACATAGAAAAAAAATGCCCTTGGATTCAAGACTTAAATGCTTTCCCTGGTTCTATTCCAGATAGAAGATTGGGGTTGGAAGATGAGGTTTCAAGGTGAAGGGGGAGAAGGGAAGAAAAAAGTAAAGAGGTAGGGTTAGAAGCTCTCAATTCTACCTTATCCTGGCTATACTACCTACTAGCTGTCAGATCCTAAGGCAAGTCATTTCTTTGTGCTTCAGTTTCCTCACCTGGAAAATGGGTATATATGCTACCCTACCCTACACACCTACATATATGTGTATGTGTGTGTGTGTGTGTGTGTGTGTGTGTGTGTGTGTGTGTATTGCTACAGAGGCATGTTATTGTTATTTAAAGGGAGGGGAATTCCCAGAGAGATGGAATCATACAAAAAAGTGTGAAGGAAGGCTCCCTGTTTTACTCCTAGCAAAGGCAGCTAGATGAGGCCCAGGAAAAAGAGCTGGGTTTAGAATAAGGAAACAAGGAAGACTTGAGATCAAATCCTTCTGTGTGACCTTCAACAAATCACTTAATTTGTTTTGCTCAGTTTCCCCAAATGTAAAATAACAGCAGCTGCCTCCTAGTAGCTTCCCTCTGAGAATACTCCCACTTTATCCAGTGCACACTTTGTACACAGCTGTTTGCATGTTGTCTCTCCCATTAGATTCTGAAGTCTTTGAAAGCAGGGATTTGTTTCTGCCTTTCCTTGTATCCCCAGCCCTTAACACAGTACCTGGCACATCATAGCTTAATAAATACTGCTGACCGACTGATGAACATGAGAAATTCTTTCTCTGAGGCTGTTATGGGGCCACCCCTTTCAGAAAGTTTTCCTGGAGTGCCTTCTCCACTCCCACTTTTAATTGTTCTCTCCCATCTTGCTCCTTGAGAGCAGGGGCAGGAGTTTTTGTTATAGTTTGGTTTGGGGTGTTTTGCTTGTGTACTGCAATGCTGAGCCCGGTGCCCAGCACATAACAAGTTTAATAAATGTTTCTCTGACTTAGTAACTTGTTCACCCCACCCCACCCCTTTTCGGCTCCATCCAGCCTTTACCTGAGATTAGGCTTATCTAAGGACATTCATCTACAGTAAGCTCCCAGAGGGCAGGGGCCCGTCCCTTTTTATCTTGGTATCATTAGTTAGGGCACAAGTGCCTGGCACGCATGGGGCACTTAAGTTGGCTTGTGGAGGAGGGAGGTGAAGGATAGAGAAGGAGGTGGAGAAAAAAGAGGAAGGAGGTAGAGAAGAAAGAAGAGGTGGAGGAGAAGGGAGAAGAAAGATAGAAGACGAGAGAAGACAGAGGGAGGTGGAGGAAGAGGAAGGTGGAGGAAAAGTGAGGACAGAAGAAAAGGAGAAAGAAGGAGAAGGAGATAGGTGAAGGACGAGGGAAGAAGGATAGAGGAAGAGGAGGTGGAGAAGGAAGGACAGAAGAGAAGAACGGAGGACGGAGGGGAGAGGTGGAGGAAGAGGGAAGTAAGATAGAGAAGGAGGAGGGAGATGAAGGAGGAGTACGAAAAAGAAGGGAGGACTTGCAGAGAGAGTTGAAGGAGAGAGTTGGAGGAGGAGGAGGGCGGTGAAAGATGGGGGTGGAGGAGGGACAAGGAAGGAGGAGAAAGAGGGGGAGAGAACGGAGGAGACGGAGAGAGCACAGAGGAGAGGGAGGGAAGGGGACCCCTGCGGGGCAGGGCAGGGGGCAGCTGGGCGCCGTGCAGTCCCGCACAGCTCAGAGAAGGGGCAACCCGGCCGGGGCAGGACGTGGCGCTCGGGGGAGGGGGGCGGGATCCGGGCCGGACGCGGGGCCAGGGCGCCCAGAGCACCTGCCGCCCGCCCGAGAGCCCCGCGAGAGAATGCAGCGAGGACAGCCCCGGCCCCCTCCCGCCTCGTCCCCTCCTCCTCCTCCCCCCTGACCCTCCACTCACCGCGCCGGTTCATGGGCCGGATCCGCACGGCCACTTTCACTTTGGAGTCCCCCATTCTCCGCGCCGCCGCCGCCAGCGCTCCCGCTCGGCTTCCGTCTTCAGCAACTAGGGCAAATTGCCGGGGATGACCAGAGAGGAGGGGGCCCAAGGGAGGGAGGGAGGGAGGGTGAAGGGGCGGGGCCAGGCCGGCCGGAGGGCGGGGCTTTGCCTGTCACCTGATCTGGGCACCCTGGAATACCGGGCTTGTTCCCTTAGCATGCCGGGAATTGTAGTCTCCGCGAGTTAGCCTGGGATAAGTGGGGCGGGAAACCTGTTTTTGCCTTCTGAAATTTAAGAGTCTTGACACAGTGGTGTGTTAATAAATATTTAGTGGTCGATTCTCCAAGGGAGAAAAAATGGACGCACGAAACACTTTTAAAATTTAATCTGCATCATTAATATTTTCTCCATCACTTCTTAAAGTGTTGCAGACCAATCAGCAAAGCAATAAATCAAGCCCTGATTTGTACCGTTTACACAGGTATAAATGCTCTCACACTGAAAATTCAACCATCAACTCTCAAGAGCCACTATGAAGTATACCCATGCTTTAGCACTAGGAGGAATCTTAGAGGTCATCTAATCCAAGCTCCATGAGGACCTTAAATATTCCATTTCAATAACATTATATGCCATAATTTGTTCAATCATTTCCCTCTCACTGGACATTTAGCTTGTTTCTTCCAAGTTGTTGTTTTTTCCCCATTACAAATAATGCTGCTAGAACAGTAACGGCAACATCGTCCCATGACCAACTTTGATAGACAGATCTTCTCGGCAATACAATGACCCAAGACGATTCCATAAGACTCACGATAGAAAATGCTATGCGAATCCAGACAAAGAACTATGACGTCTGAATGCAGATCCAAGCGTATTGTTTTCACTTTTTTTGTTGTTTTTTGTTTTTTCTTTCTCGTGTTTTTTCCATTTTGTTTTGATTCTTCTTTCACATGACTAATGTGGAAATATGTTTAACATGATTGTACATGTATAGCCAATATCAGATTGCTTGCTGTCTTGGGGAGGGGGGAAGGAAGGGAATGAGGGAGAAAAATTGGGAACTCAAAATCTTACAAATATGAATGCTTAAAACTATCTTTACATGTAATTAGAAAAAAATAAAATACCATTACGTGCAAAAAAAAAACGCTACTAGCTAAAATTACACAAGAAGCAGGAAATTGGAAAAGAATCTTTCCAGTAAGTTTCACTGATAAAGGTCTTATTTCTAATATATAAACCTAAGGGATTCAAATTTATAAGAATAACATTTATTCCCAAAATGATAAATGGTCAAATTATATGAATAGGCAGTTTTCAGAGGAATACAAATTAGAAATAGCCATATAAGAAAAAGTTCTAAATCACTAATAATTAGAGAAATGCAAATTAAAACAACTCTGAGATACCAAAAATGACAAATTCTGAAGGAGTCATGGGAAAACATGTGCATTAATGCACTACTGGTAGAAGTGTGAACTCCTCTAACCATTCTGGAAAGCAATTTGGAACTATGCCCAAAAAGCTATTAAGCTGTACATATCCTTTGATACAACTACTAGGTCTATACCTCATAGAGATCAAAGAAAGAGGCAAAGGACTCATTTGTACAAAAATATTTATAGTAGCTCTTTTCATTATGGCAAAGAATTAGAAACTAGGAGGGTGCCCATTAATTGGGAAATGACTGAACAAGTTACATGTATTATGTGATGGAATGCTACGGTGCTGCAAGAAATTGTCAAGGAAATAGTTTTAGAAAAACCTGGGGAAGACTTGTATGAACAGATGCAAAGTAAAGAGAGCAAAACCAGGAGAACATTTTATACTATGCCACAATACTGTAAAGACAAATAACTGAAAGACTAAGGAGCTCTGTTCAATACAATGGAACCAACTACAGTTCCAGAGATCTCATTATGAAACATGCCATCCTCCAGAAAGAGAGGTTATAGATTGAAACTTTTTTTTCTTCTTTCTTTCTTCAGACAAGGCTAATTCTGGAATTTATTTTGTGTGACCATACATATTTGTAAAGGTTGTTCTTTACTGCTTTCTCAATAGGTGGGGGAGGGAGAAAATTCAGAACTGAAAAGGAAATAAAATTGAATTAAAAAATAATGTTTCTATAAATAAATATTTTTTAAATCTTAGCTCATTTTTCCTTTCTGTTATACCTCACTACCATGTTCCCAAAAATGGAATTATCAATTAGAAGTGTATGATTGGTCCAATGATTTTTCCAATATGTACCACGTCCCAAAAGTCTTAGTGTGGTTTTAAGCACTGAGATTGTTGGGACACCCAATGTTGCCAGATTACTTTCCCAAAAGGTTCCATTTGCAATCCCACTAGCTATATAGGAATGTAGCTACACGTTCATCCATAGCCTATCAGCAATGAGTTTTGTCTTTCATTTGTATTTCCTTTGACATTGTTTGGCATGTTTTCAAATGATTGTTTACAATTTACTTTCTTTCACAAATTGTTCATGTTCTTTGACTATTTATGCATTGAACATTAATCTTGAATCATTTTCATGGTTACTGACAAATTTTAAGTATCTAGTAGAATATAAACTCACTAAAAGCCAAAGCTGCTTTAGTTTTGTCCACATTGCCTTGCCTGGTTCTTAATGTTTGTTTAATTGGTTGAGTGTCAAATTGTTATCTTTTTGCTATATTTCTAAATGTATTTTCTTTTTCTTTTTATATTTTGGGGGGGTGTACAGAATTTTATAGTAAGTCAATCAACAAGCATTTATTATTTACCAACATCTATGCTGGGGGTACAAAGAAAGGCCAAGAAAAAAACCCCAGTCTCTATTCTCAAGGAGCTCAGAGTCTGATGGGGGAGATAACATGAAAACAATTATGTATAAATAAAATATATGCAGGATAAATTGGGGGTAGTAGGAGAGGACAACACCAGCATAAATGGAAATAGGAAAAAGCTTCCTGTAGAAGAATTTTTGGCTGGAACTTGAAGAAAGCCAAGAGACAGACATAAGAAGGAAGAGGATTCCAGGCATGGAGAACAGCCAGTGAAAATGCCCAGAGACTGGAGATGGAGTGTCTTATGTAAAAAATATACTTCCGGGGGCAGCTAGGTGGTGTAGTGGTTTAGAGCACTGGCCCTGCAGTCAAGAGGACCTGAGTTCAAATGTGACCTCAGACATTTGACACTTATTAGCTGTGTGACCCTAGGCAAGTCACCTAACCCAGTTGCCTAGCCAAAAAGCATATATCTATATCTATATATACACACACATACACATACATATGTACACACATGCACACACGCACACTAACCCTAACAATGTCTTCTGCTTAATAGATTTAAAATATTTCTCCTCCATAAATGACATATACTATTCTCTTTGCTCCTACCTTTTTAAAAGCATTTTTGGTAATGTTTAAGTCTATTATCCAGCTGGAATTTATTATGACATGGTATAGGATGTGGAATATTAACTCAATTGTTATTCTATTTTCTAATAAATTTATTTCTGCTCTTAATTTTGTCCCTATTTTTAAAAACTTTCATTTGGCCCATTACATTGTTCCTTTTCTAGTGTCTTTAAGTACACACTAAATTAATGTACTTTCTTCCTTTCATTAATAATGTAGGTGTTCAACATTACACATTTGCCTCTCAAATTGTTTTGGCTGCATCCCATAGATTTTGGCATGTGGCATTTGTGTCCTTATCATCTTTTAAATATAGTTATTTTTCTAATTTGTCTTTTAACCTAATTATTTGGTAGCTTGAAAGGTTTTTTCCATGTAATTCATCTTTTACTCATATTGTTGTCATTTAGTTCTAAACTAAATGACATTATAAACTAAAAATATATGTACAATTTCTACCTTTTTTAGTTTACCAAATGTTTTTCTCTGACCAAGTATATAATCAGTTTTTCTGAGTCCCATATGAATTTGAAAAAAAATGTATATTCCCTGCTTCTTCTACTTAGTTCTTTCCAAATAGCTGTTATTTCTGGCTTATTTAAAAAAGTAATCAGAACCTAATTTTTCTTTATTGTTCATATATTTACTAGACTTGTGGTTCCTGATAATGAAACATTGACATCCCTTACTATTCTTACATTTTTGTCTTTCTTCTTGCATTGTTATTAACCTTTCTTTTCTAAATTTAACTGTCAAATTGATTGGTGTGTGTAAATTAAGAATAAATTATTCATTAGTTAATCCTTTTACCATATAATGCTTTTATCTGTCTCTCTTGACATTTTCTCATTTGAATTCAATTTTTTTCTGACACCATTACTACCACTCTTGATTTGTTTAAACTTTCATTTTATGTTACTTTTAAAAAGAAATTCTTAATTTTAATCTACCTTTATGTCTAATATCTCTGTCTATGAATTGTGTTTCCTGTAAGCCTATATAATATGTTATTGATGGGTGTTGTTTCTTGTTCTGTAATTCTTTTTCTTCTAGTGGCAGAATTCAAACCATTTGCATATGTTTGATTTTAATTTGATCGATTTTTTAAATTTGATTTGTTTTTCTAGCGTTTCTTTTCCATCCTATCCATACTTCTTATCTGCATGTTTGGAGTTATCTACAAAGGGTAAAATCTATATTAAATTTCTACAAATACTTCTTCTATTAAAACCAATAAATGAACCAAATTACAATTCTGTCTGTCAAACTGCCAACTCTTTATAATTGCCTTTGAGATTTGATCCTCTTTTTGTTAGTGAAGGGGGCACTGACTTATGTTTAAAGGGACGGGCAGGGACTTAGATGTAGCTGAAGGAAAAAGGGATAAAGGTCATTAGCTTCACTCTTTCCCTCCATGGTGACTAAGTGAACCTCCAGAGTAATCTAAATGGCTCCATCACTGGTGACCAGGTCTTTGATGAGGTTTAAATGGCATTTACTCATCCAAACCAAAATTCCAAGTAAGCCTGGGCAAATTATTAGGGAGACTCAATTTTGGGGGAAAAAAGCTCTTTTGGTAGTGTTGGTTGCTTCTCCTTAGGAGCTTCATTGATGGGATCATAGATTTAATTATTTTAAAATTTAAAATTAAGCAATCAGAGACA